ATAGGTTCATCGGTGTCAAAAAAGTAGGCGGTGTTCGAGATGTTCAGGAAGCGATGAATGATGTGTGCTATGACGAAGTGCTGAGTTATGTGAAAAAAGGTCTGCAAGTGCTGGTAAGTGGACATTGATTGCTCTTCCATTATTATAAATGCGTCAAAATTGTGTCCATAGGTTTTTGTCCACGCAAGGAATGCAACCGCTAACTTGGCTCAAGCTTTCCGCGAACGAGCTGCTCAGCTTGTAGGTGTCTTGCCATCTTTGCTCCCTTTTCTCTATTATCAGAGCTAGAAGTTTAAGACTCAGCCATATGAATGTGACGAGTAGATAATATTTTTCGAATGTTTAGGGACATCTGGATTTCTTTACTCCTCCAACGGCTGGCACAAGAAATTATGTTCAGTCGGAAAAGTCGGTTAGTTCCATTTCTTCTTCACCACCTATTTATTTGGTTTTAGTGGAGGTTTCGAGCGAATCGTGTCGAATTATTCTTTCATTAGTAATTTTGGCTTTTGCCGTAACTATTTTCAAAAAATCAATGTGTTATAGATCCAAGCGTCCAGAAACCATAAACTCTTTGAGTTTTTCCGGTTCGGTCTAGGCGTGCACCATGCTGGTCTAGTGCGACATGATCGTTTACTTATGGAGAGGACGTTTCATCAAGGACACATCATGGTAATATATCTTGCTTAAGATTATTTGTAGAATGTCTAATTTCCTGAGCTATTTGTCGTTCAAGGTTCTCTTCTGCACTGCGACATTGGCATGGGGAGTCAATCTACCAGCGCATGCTGTGGTCATTCGTGTAAGTTTGCTACCTGCTCAACTGGAAAAGTTCACTGATGAGGAGAAGAATTAGATGGAAAATTTCATTGCACCGTCATAAATATCAAATTAATGCAGGCGCTCTAATTTGGAATTTAAATGGAAATTTTCTGCAGTTTGTGATTTTTCCCTTCTAAAGAATTAAGTATTAAAACAGTCATCATTATCCAAACCCTTTTAGGGCACAGATGTCTTTG